ATATATATATATATATATATATAAATCTCACTATTATTTCTGCGTCTGTTCATGCCACTAGGGGTTCAGCGTCCGACGAGTATATAGAGATTTTGGCGGCAATCCACGCAGATCTCATCATTACCGACTGAGAAATATGAAGTATACTGATCTGCGATGCTTTTGTGCTGGAAAAAATATGAAAATCTATTTGACGACTTTTCAACGTCCGTCACATTCAGTGACGGTTTTTGCGTCCATGTATATTTTTCATTCCACCATCTTTCTACGTCCTTAAGAATATTTCTTTTCGGCTGACACAGGTTTATGCGTCCTGCGGTGTTGCCGATAGGTGAACTTTTTCTTGATCGTCGTGCATTATTTGTAAGAAGCTGTGAAATTCAAGTCAAGCGTGGAGGTCCAGACGACGGATCCCTCGCCAGAGTCCGTTTCATGGCACCCACAAATTTCATTATCCCCTGAACTCATTCTTTCTTTGATATACATAAACCTAGTTGACTTTCTACCTTTATCCAATGAGAGTTGATTTAATTACACTTTAATTTTAATAGCTATTACTACAATAAGTGACGTATCTAAACGTGGAAAATATAGTGTTCATTCAGTCTGTTGGTCGCATGTTCCAAGTCTAAGCAGTCAACCCTATATTTTACATGCAATTGTTTTGGTCTATCTTTCTATTTTGAAGTTGATACAGCGCTATCTTTGGAAATAAACCATACTTATAATATATAAAAATTGATGACAGGATTGCCTTGGAAGTACAGCCAACCTACATGACCTGCATTATTCAACAAGTAAAGCATTGGATTTTTATGACTGAAATATCAAAATGGATTAGCATTAATGTTTATATACGCCGTATTTGTGATTGTGAAAAGTCGCTGTAGGTAATAGGCAGTTTTGCGGTACAGTGGAACAAACAGTAAAGGAAAAATCTTTGCATTTCCGCAATGAAGGAGAAGGAGGAGAAGCAGAAAAAAAAGGATAGGTAGCCCGAGCGACACGTGTTTCTGCTAATTGGCTTCGTCAGGCCCAAATGGATATGCATATCCACCCACCGAGGTGAACAGACATACCCATACACTTGGATACGGGTGTAACCTGAGGAGTCAAGGTCACCTTGATGTGTGGATGTGCACATTTATTTAGGCCTGACGAAGCCAATTAGCAGAGACACGTGTCGCTCGGGTTACCTATCCTCTTTTTTCTGCTTCTCTTCCTTCTCCTTCACTGCTGAAATGGCCAAGATTTTTCCTTTACTGTTTAGTCGCTGAAGGATTGAGAGTACCTCTGGATTAAGATCAGACACTTTGAAAACGTCTCGATATAGCGCTTTCAAAGTTAACGTGGTATTTGTTAAACCGACATATTAAAACAACAACAGGTAGTATACAGCCTTTACTGAAAAACTAAAATATTAACAAAAAGTAAACCTAAGTTAAAACTATAAATGAAAGGTATTAGGAATGGATTTTTCCATTCTATGTTGAAAACTTTGAACAAGTAATCGGCCTACCTAAGCACATATTCATTTTCTCTTAGTATATTGATTTTGAATAAAGACTTTGACTTTAGTCCATGATTTATTTGCTAGCAAATCTGGATGCATTTCTATCAAAGCCTCACATTCACCACGTTTGGGAGGTTTCTTCTGTTTAATGTGTTCCTTGAAAAATTGTGTAACAATTTGTTTTTGTTTGTTGGTCCATGGAACTAAAATACGCTTTCTTGTTTGCTGAGTGCTTTGGTTATTTTCAGTAGCTATGTTTTCTGTATTTCCCTCTGCATCTGCCATATCGTCATCGACAGCAGATACTGTGGCTGATGCGGAACTCTGCTCTTCCCTCAAAATATCCGTCTCATTTTCTTCTATCATTTCTTCCATGTCTACGTCTATCTCGTCTAGAGCTTTACCTTTGTATTTCCCAGCTTCTCCTTTTTCCATCAACATAAGTAACTTGGCAATCTTTGCCGTCTGTTATACGTCGTCTGGTAGCCTATAAACATGTTTATGTACATTCATGGTATGTCCCATGAAGGTGGCTAATTGCTCAATGTCCCCTTCAGTCATACTAAATAGTTGCGTCAGTGTCGCAAGGTGTTTTCTCAGTCTAGTCGAAGTTAAAGCTTGTGGGTTTTTGGCACCACACATGTTCGCATGCTTTTGAACTACCTTATATCCAACAATGGGTTGGCATTCAGAATTCGGATTTGCGAAAAGAAAAACATTTTTTTCTTTTATAAATGTAGCTCGTGCGTCCAACAAAACCGTGATGTGGTCTTGTACATCTCTACTAAACAAAACTGGTACTCCTCTGCCCCTTTTTCCTCGAGTTACGACTCTCTTAAAATTTTTTACAAGTACCTGCTCTGCAGATGTAATTGCTTCAGAAAATTCTTCATAATGTGTGGCACTTGTTTTCCCAGCTGCCATGTAAGTTGTTACTTCTATTCTTTGTAGTTCACCCACTCTTTTACGGTTTAAAAGTAATGTTCTACAAATTGCTGTCTCCATTAATAAGATGAATGCCTCAAAATTATTTTTAGTTTGTTGCAATCGTCGAGCAGCTGTATTTCCCTTCTCTATTAGATAGTTTCTGAACAACTTCAAGTCTGCAGCTAGTGGGACCAGTGTCACTTTGTTCCATGTCTTCATGTTCAAGTCCCTTCCAGCATGACTTGAAATTTCATGCTTCCACATATTCTCCAATAATTGTCGGAACACCCCGATATTTGCTTCTGCTTGTGAGGCAGAAATTGTCAAATAATTACATTTTTTTTTGACAATATGTAAAACTGCCATATCACAACAGTCTTTTAGAGATCTGCTTACGTTCATCGCAAATGTCGGAGATTCGAAAACATCTGTTTGCGTGTTATATCTGGCAATAACTTTGACACTTTGTACTACACTGTCAAAGTGCTGTGGCTGAAGCACGTCAAATAAGTTTTTGATTGCAGGATCTAGTTTTTGACATTCCATCAAAACCTTGGCAAGTTCTCTCATTTTTCTTGAGCAAACGTTAACGTGATGTTGCTCTCTGTGTGTGTTGATGTACCTAGATCCAAAGGCACATATAAGAGCATCTTTTTTTGCTGTCAGTGAAATTTGATCGGCCAACATCCGTGGGAAGACCATAGTCTTTAATGCAGAATTTGCTATATTCTTAGGTAGCATAAGGTCTTGACCTTCACTTAAAGGAACGGTTTTTGAAGGATCTTTATTTAGTGGACAAATTCTTTTATGTTTCCATAGTAGCTTACGTGTGTAAAAACCTAAGCAGAAAGGACAAGGCATATAATTTTCTTCGCTATCATTCACAGCACTTTTATGTACTGGCTTGGAAAAAGTACTTGAATTTTTAATAAAATTGCCCTTCTTTCTCAAGTTACTTATGCAACGTTTCCTATCAATCGAGTTAACTAGTAGTGATAGAATTTTTTGGACTTCACTTTCCCCTATATGGTTGCGCTTTATATGTCGTGCAAAGTTTAGCACATCTTCATCACAAAAAAAGCAGTAATCTGGTTGGCGTATGTACTTTTTCTTCTTCTTCTCTTCACTCTTCTGTCCGGGTTTGATTACTATGTCTGAAACTATGACTATTTTGCGGTTACTTGGCACCTGTAAACCAATAGATGTTACTGTAAAACATGAATGAATATTCCACTCTTACGAAACCTTACCTCTACTTTTGGTAAAGATCCTTCATCGCCACTTGAATCCGTATCTGGTATATAACTCGGATCTTCATCAGTATCTGAAGAAAATAAGGCTTCCTCACTGGATGGACTCTCCAAATGTCTTTCACTGCAGATTTTTGGTGACCCACAAATCGATGCTGTCTCATTTTGAGGACCATTTGTGACTGAATAATATCCTACAAGTATAATTCTGGTATAATAATCACATCGCACATAAAATTTTTGTTCAGAGCCTACTTTTTACAAAAATATGTACATATAAAATTAACTTCTGTCTCATATCATCGACAAAGGCGTCCAATTTGGAGGATTCCGATGTTGAGAAAAGATAAGAAAAGCATGTATACTGGCTCGGTACTTGCCATGCTACAAATCACGCATATGTTCCCTGAAAAACTTGGTCTTAATAAAGATTCGAAAAATAATGAAAGCATTTTCCATCATTTTCTACCATCAACACTAACTACGAAAAAAAGAGCTTTGGGAAAATAAAAAATTGGACCCTCAAGGTGATTTTGTAGTCAACACAGTTTATTTGGAAAGGAAACCCCGGTTTTCATAACTGAAGGGAACATGGATGATTACAGTTAAGGTGTCCTCTCAAAACTCTACTCACCTGCGATAGCGAGCAACATTTCTTCTTTTGTTAAACCTTTTGTGGATTCCCATTTCGGTAACATCACTGGTTCAATACACATTTGAAGCATTAACTTTGATCTATTCATTTTTAAGGATGAATAAAATATGTTCTGATCGCGCGCCAATTCCGGTAAAAGTAAGGTTAGGAGAATGAACAAAATCATGGGGATGCAGAATCGGATGACATATGAACGGGCATGGAACAACGTAGATAATATACGGACGCAGAATTAGATGCAGATGTAATGTACTGTCGTAGAAGTATATTATATCGATATACGGACGCGGAAATAGATGCAAGTATAATGAACGGACAAAATCACAGGGATGCAGAATCAGATGACATATGCATGGGCAAGGAACATAAATAATATATGGACATATGAAAATTGTAGGAAGATGCTTTTTCTTCATGACCCAAAATAATCGTCTAATTACGAAACAAATTACTAATATAGCATGGTAGGTATCAGGTCTATGGACTATTGTGAAGGTGATATGGGACAACGGTCGATTTATTTATACTATTTCTGGGCAAAGGAGTATTCGGATAAATTTAATCTTGTGCTTGGCACTAATTTATTATAATATAATGATATTTTTAGGATATTATTTGTTCTTAAATTTTTCTCAAAATGAAACAGCATCAATTAGCGGCTCACCAAAAATCTGTACTTAAGCGTCTGTCCAATAAGGATGCCCTATAGCCGTCGAATAGTGACAAGGATCGAACCTATATATGTAACTGTTTGAGACTCCAGTACAAATGTTAATAAGGTGTCTTTACACAGGTCAGGTTTTCTATTACATATTCGATATCATCGTACTTGCTGTCATGAGGATTTTATTGCAACATCTACTGGTTTACAGGTAAGTAACCAAAAGGTAGGAATACTTTCAGACTTAATAATCAAACCCCGACAATCACCACAGAAGATGCGAATTTGTAGGTAAAGGTGTATCAACGCGTCGGAAAACTGCTATTGGGAAAAAATAAAAATTCATTAATTCATTTTTTATTGTGGGCTGAAATGCGAAATAGTATATGGTACTTTAAATAACGATTAATACCATGGTTACTTGTTATGAATAGGGATAGTGAGAATGCTGTTGTTTTTAGGACTGTTCTGTAGGCCTAGAGAACAAAAAATTAGTTTATACACATCGTCTAGTGAAACGTGCTAGGTAGATTGTTGTTGTTTCTCTAATGAAGAACTTCAAAGCGTCGCCAGAAATATACAGCGTAATTATCTGAACAGAAGTGAAATTAAAAAAAAATCCAACATTACCTGTCAATTCAATCGATAGAATGTCATAGGCAACTTAAGGAAGGAAGAGTAATTTTATTGAAAACTCAAGTGTCGTTTTCAAGTTGGTTAATAAAATGCTGTCAGTAATATCGAAAAAAATTATATTTATTGCCCTTTCTGCTCTGGCTTTTACACATGTTAGCTCGTTAAGGAACATGAAAAAAATTGTCTCTATTGATCTATCCAAATTGAAAATGCTTATACATGTTTGAATTAAAAAAAAGAAAATCGATTGTCATTATGGTTTTCAATAAAAAATAGTATGATAGTAACATATGATTGATATTTAGCCGTCGTCCGAAATGCAACAGCAACGCACCAGATTGAATATCATTTTTACAAGCGAATCATACCGCAAGGCGATGTTGTCACATTTTAGGACGCAGAATCATTAAAATCATGTGTCCATGAAATATACATCCTGCATATTTAAGTAGCGATAATTACGCCACTGAGGCCAATCTTAGAACTACCGCCAGATAACAAGTGTACATTTTACCATCTTTCTACGTCCATATTAATGTGTGCTGGGTTTTAATCCACAACTTCTAGAAACAAGACGACCCTAAAAAATGAAAGTCCCTATGAAACTGACGCGATTATTCTACGCGGGAAGTTTGATATCGCATGTAGGACAGAATTATGGTACCAAATTCTTTCTGCGTCCGTATATGGACGTACAAAGGTAGTGGACGCAGAGTAATATGTAAATGGAGAAATGTACGGATGCAGAAGGGTGAAACGGATGTATATATATATATATATATATATATATATATATATATAATTTTTTGAATTAATCCGTTCAAAAAATCAAAGGAGAGGGAGACATTAAAGAAAAACACAGTATGATGATAACAATACTCGGTACTCGGTGACAGGTATTTACGTCAAGTCAAGCATTTGTTTGTAACGCCTACTTAAAAAAAATAAATAAAAAAATCAGAAAAACGCATTTTTCTTAAAACAAAAAAAAATAAATGTTAAGGCGCATACAAACATCGCAAGGCGTGCGTCGCGAATGGTTGGTCTCGCATGCCTCAACCTGAGGCATACGACGGTACATTTATGCATGCGTTCCGAAAGACACATGCTCACTGCAAGCAAACAACCACGCTCCGGCAAGGCGAGATGTACAGATTGCAGATTGTTGTGATATTTGACGCCACGCGTCTTCCTTTTTACATTTATTGTGAGAATCAGAATGTTAAGAGTCCCGTAATACTATGTTTTTTTTTGTTTTTTTTTATTCAAAGAAATAACCGCATCAACCTTTACAGGTTACTAGCGGTGGATGTGATTAAATCTTATGTAGAACATTAATTTTTCTTAAATACATAAGTAGTTGGTTAATGTCACATTTGTCCCGTATAATATCCGCTAGAGTTCCGTTAATATTATGTTGAAGTCTTTCACTTTCCAGTGGTGGGCACTCCACTAAGATATGTTTAACGGTGAGTGTTTCTTCACAAATGCCACAGGTTGATGGTTGTTCTCTATTGAAGCCGATGAGTGAGCTGGGTGTGTCCGAGTCGTAGTCTGGTTATAACTATTTGATGTCTTCAATTCTGGGTAATACAGCGCCATGGCCCCATAGATGATTTGAGCTCTAAGAGCTTAGAATTTTTATTTCTCCATTCACTGTTCCATTCTTGATATATTTTATAAGTGAAGTAAGATTTTGTATCCGAAAATGGTATTTTTGTTGTTGCTGATAGTTCTCCTTGCGCTGCGATTTTTGCTTTTTGGTCTGCCTCCTCATTACCCCGGATGCCAACGTAGCATGGAGCCCAAATGAAGATAACTTTTTTGCCTTCCGTATGTAATCGATGTAAATGCTCCTTGATACTGATCACCAACGAGTTACTCACGTAAACTCGTCCAATCATTGTGAGTGAGCTCAGTGAATCGGATATTATTACCCAGTTTGTAGCTGCCTTCTCTGTGATATGTTGGAGAGCTTCCATTATAGCATGAAGTTCACTTGTGCAAATTGTAGCTTCATCTGGTAATCTCGTAGCAATAATGGTGGTCGGTGTGATGACTGCTGCGCCTGTTTTGTAGTTTACTTTAGCTGCATCTGTGTAAATTTTTTGGTGTTCCAAATGTTCCTGCATAAGCTGATTGAAGCGTCTTATTAGTTCGTGAGGTACATCGTGCTTGTTAAGCTTTGTCATCCTGGTATTGATGTCAGGTAAGTTGATCAGCCAAGGTGGGACAGAGGATGCTGAAGTGCAATAGGTAGGGGGGAACGATATGTTTAGTGATCTGAGACGCAAACTTGTTCTCTGGCAGAAAGAGCCCCTTCTTGTTATATTCATGCCGTACTGTGACATAGTAGCTACTAGGCGACTATGGATAGGAATTGCTGGATTAGCGTAAACTCTGGTTGCATATGAAAGACTCAATATCTGACGTCTGAGGTAGAGAGGTGCCTCGTCAGCTTCACAGTATAGGCTGTCACATGGTGTGGTCCTAAAAACACCAAGTATAAGGCGCAGAGCATTATTGTGCAGGACATTTAGTTGTTTAAGGGTCGAATTTGTTGCCGATGCGTATGCTATACATCCATAATCAATTTTTGATCGGATTAGGGACCTGTAGAGGTATAAAAGTGTAGTTCCATCAGCCCCCCATCGTTTGTTTGCTAAACATTTCAGTAAGTTGATTGCTTTTTGGCAGGATTTAATCAGTTCTCGGATGTGTGGTTTCCAGTTCAAGTGTTGATCAAATATAATGCCAAGAAATTTTATTTCTGTTGTGTAATGGAGTTGAACATTATTGTACTTTAGATTTGGCTTGCACCTTACTAGTATCTTCGAAAAAAATTATACAGTTAGTTTTCTCTGGCGAAAAAGTAAATCCTGATTGTTTGGACCATTCCAATAATTTATCTAGTTGTATCTGTAGTAAATTCTTAGCTGCATCGAGATGTCTTTCTTTTAGATACAAGATCATGTCGTCGGCGTATAATCTCACTTGTATTGGCTTATTAATCGCTTCCAAAAGGTCATTTATAGCGATAAGAAACAGCGTGGGGCTAATGATTGAGCCCTGGGGTATTCCATTTTCTTGGTTTCTTTGTGTAGACAAGACTCCATTGGCTCTTACTCGGAAGACTCTATCACGTAAGAAGTTCAAAATGAATGCCAGTATATTTCCGTTGTAGCCCCATTTTTTCAGCGTTGTTGTGATTTTGTGCCTCCACGCAGTATCAAAGGCGCGGTCTATATCAAAATATATAGCTAGTGAGTATTGTCTATTGTCAAACGCTTCATGTATCTGATTTTCCAAGTCAATTATATTGTCTAACGTGAATCTGTTGGCTCTGAATCCAGATTATTCGCCAGCGAGTAACTGTTTTTGATCTAAGCTCCAAATGAGCCTACGGTTTATAATTTTTTCTAAGAGTTTGCACATTGCGCAAGTTAATGAAATGGGTCTGTATGACTGTGGGTCGAGTGATGATTTATTAGGTTTGAGAATAGGTATAACAATGGCCTGCCTCCATAATCTAGGAAATACATGTTGTATCCAGAGTATATTGTATATTTGTAGGACATGGTTTTTGGCGTTTGCTGGAAGATATTTCAGAAAGATAGGGGGTATATCATCTGGGCCTGAGGACGTATCTTTCAGGTCATTTAGTGCTTCTTCAAATTCGGCTGTTGTTAAAAGGAAATTTACAAGATTAGTATTATCTTGGGTTATGTTTATGTGAGTAGCTTCTTCCTGTTGTTTATATGCGAGGAAATCTTGACAGTAGCTCTCATTACTAGATTTCTGATAATAAACTTTAGATAGGCTTTCTGCAATTTTGTCGTTGTCTGTGGAAAGTGCTGGCCCGTCTTTAATGGCTTTTATACGACTGTATGACTTGTCTCCTGATATGTTTTGGACTTTCTTCCATACTTTAGAGAGGGGGGTGGAGCTATTAATGCTGCTAACGTAATTTTGCCAGGACTCTTTTTGGTGTTTATTTATAGATAGGCGTGCTCGAGCACTTTTCAGTTTAAAGTCTTTCAGGTTTTC